GGTTGTCTTCACCAGCAGGCGGATTGAGTCTGATTGCGACCGGAACCGGAAATGAGCGCAAGGCGCTTGATCAGTGGTTTCCCTTGAGGAGTTCTCCTGAATTCTTAATATCCGGAAGTAAGAGGTTAACAGGAGCGAGGGAGGTTGAAGATGTTGGCAAACAGACTCGATCGGATCCGGTGGAGACAATTCGTCCTGGCAAGAGTCGATCGGACGCCCCGGAGGTCAGTTGGCGAGAGATAGAGAAAGTACCTCTCAGCCATGAGTTTAAACAAGCGCGCTACGCATGAAATATACGTCGTTCTTTAAACCATGACGCGAAGCAAGCCCGCTACACATGTAACATTCGTCGTTCTTTAAGCCATGAGGCGAAATAAGCGCGCCACAAATGAAATGTACATCGCTCTTAAAGCCATGAGGCGAAATAATCGCCCTACACATGTAACATTCGTTGTTCTTTAAGCCATGAGGCGAGACAAACGCTACACATGAAATATACGTCGTTCTTTAAGCCATGAGGCGAAACAAGCGCGCTACAATGAAATATACGTCGTTCTTAAAGCCATGAGGCGAAACAAGCGCGCTACACATGTAACATTCGTCGTTCTTTAAGCCATGAGGCGAAACAAGATGTACGCTAATCCACTAGCGGCAAGATTCGAGACGAGTCGTGTAGAGGTTTTCCAGGGGTCTGGCACTAATAATGAAGCCTTCCAGACCTCTCACCAGCTCGCGTTGCTCAAGGCCTCGTACATTGCTTCGGGTCAAACGCGCGTGCAGAAATGCCAATAACGAGGGCCTCCTCGCAGGCTACCCAGGAATGCTTTCCATTCTCCCTTGAAAATTCTCCTTACAATTATTTTTGACAAAAATTCTCAGGGAGAAGTTAATTAGATCAAATTGTCGTGAGAGCAACTAAAAAGTAGGCTCTGACTTATTAAATTAAACAATTTCAATCACTCACACACAATGCAGGTACTCTAACTGTTTAGTCACAGGAAGACCAGTGACAACTCGGGCTTTACACAGCCTTAGGGTTAGTATTTGGCGAGCCTGCTGGATACTAGGAAAAGAAGACTACTATATTTGGGCCTCTTCGAATGATCACATTGAAAGATCGCATCAGAATAACTTCTGAATGATGTTCACTTTTTACTGTAAAACATGGATTACATCTCTTTTAAGATCGCAAATCAACAACTTGTTATCTTCAAAAGAAAAGACAGAAAAGGGAGATATGATTCCTTCATTAAACGAATTAATATGTTTTCCATCTAAAGAAAACACATGGAGACTGCTGTTCTTTTCGTCACACACGATCAGGTTGTTAAACGCGTCAATGGTAAGGCTGTTTCTAAGAGATCCAACAACAGATTCCTCCTTGCAAATATCATACAGATAAAGTCCTTCGTTGTTGAACACTTTAACATAGTTATGTGAGTTATATAAGACAAAAAACTTGTCCTCATGATAAACAGCAGAGGCTGGGGAACCAAAAGTGTGTGGTCCTTTGAAGGACTGTACTAATCCTGTACCGTCAGGGGAGAGAACCTTGACTAATTTGTCGCTCGAGTCACACACGATTATGTGACCATCATCTCTGACAGATACGGACCGAGGAAAACTCAAATGTTGACCGATGGCTTTAATAAACTTGCCCTGTTCAGTGAACAAGAACATCTTACTCGGTTTCATAAGTTCTCCATGAATGATGATGACTTCATCAGATGTTGTAAATTCCACTGATTGAGGAAACTTGATTCTCCTCGCATCATTAGCATCAAGTCCCTTGTTTCCTATTGTTCTCAGATATTTCCACTCACGATCAAACAACTGAACTCTGTTATTGCCAATATCTGCTATGGCAATCTTTCCTGTTCTTTTATTCACTGCAATGCTAACTGGTCCTTTAAACTGTCCCGGTCCTGTCCCACTTGATCCAATTGAATAAATAGCTTTGTACTGATGACCAGTCGCCTGAACTCTCCAAGGACTTCCAGTCAGCGGTTGGCCATTCACCTCAACAGAGATGTCACGTAAGCCAATACTCTTTGGCGTGTAACGCACTACATAGCTTCCATTCTTACAGTCGTCAATTTTCGTTTCCTCCTCTTCTTCTTTTTGAGAGCAGATTTTTACGGTCAGTTGGTCTTGTTCATAATAACACTGAGTTCCCTTTGAATCTCGCGTAGTGACTGTAAAGTTAGTTTCAGTGCCTGCTTCTGCCTCGATTAAACCTCTTCCTTCTGCCGATGATTGTAAAGCATTGGTGTAAATCTCGAATATTTGACCCGGAACCAAGCCTCTAATAATATTCATAGCTTTCAGATTTACGCAATAGACTACATGTTGAGGTTTACACACCTCAATATCCTGTGTGGTTAAGAGTTCCTCGCATCGACCAAGCACAGCATGTCCTGCTTGCAGAATTTCAGGACCGATGCTTCGTTGTACGATATCTTTACCACATTCGACAGAACTCTTTAGCTGAGCAGTGAGTAACTGAAAATTTCCTATTTCTACCGCGTAGTTCTTTTGTTGCGTGACTTTCATTTCTGCCAGCTTACTTTTTACATCCGTTTCATGTTCCTTCGCAATTCGAATAATTTCTTGCACAGTTTTCGTAACCTTCTCTTCAGCGGCGCAGATTTCTTCTTCGATTTTTTTCATCAGTTCAGTTTGCTCCGATATCTTTGACTCCACGATAACAAGATGTTCCTTAACTGTGGCAAAGACTTGCGTCATTCGCATCTTTTGTTCTTCAGCAGCCTCCTGTACGTCAACTAAAGAATGTCGATTATGACTCACTATACTGCACTTGTGGCAAATACAAATGCTACAGTCATGACAGTAATAATCAAGCGGTTCATTCTCGTGATATTTCTTTGCACACATGGCGGGTCTGTGCATCAACTCCTCCACATCTTGCGCTTGCAAGTTTTTGATAAAAACATTGCGATGACCTCTTGTGGCCTTCAGGCGCTGATGAGCATCAAAACAATCCTTGCAAAGAAAGTTCTGGCAAACAAAGCAATAGCAAGTTGCCGTGTTGTTTTCTTCACAACTGTTGCATCTCTGAGCCTCTTCGCTGCCATCTCTCAGAGCGAGGAGATCCACCAGTCGGTTGAGATGAAAAGATGTGGGAAGGCTGCCAAACGTGTCTCCTTCAGGGATCTGAAAGCAAGCTTGACAAACTGGACATTTGATCGTCGTTTCTAATTTTCTCTTTGCATATCTTGCGTGCTTGTCGATACACTGCAGACAGAATGAGTGTAGACATGGCAGTGTCTTGGGATCTTTGACTGTTTCTAGACACAGCGGACACTCGGCTTCCTTCTTGAGATTTGTAAACAGCTGTTGAACATCCATATCTAGCTGAATAAGTTAAGAGCTGGGTGCAGTTGACAAGTCACATCGCTTATCATGCATAAAACGAGACTTAGCGGAGGGACCAGTCACCTAATAAGCCCTCTCCACCCTATTCATATTTCCAAGTGTAACCTTTGAAGAGTTTCAATGTGTTATTACTCGGGTTTCGGCTTCGTTCTTCGTTTCGTTCAGCTGTAAATCGCAGTTAAATTTTTAACACGCATGCGCGAAGTTTTGTGCATGATAAGGATCAATGGCATGGCATGGTGTAATGGTGAAAGAAGAGGAGCATTTGGGTTGAAAAATCAACACAGATACTGTGTATAATACGCTGAAAATGTGTGCAAAATATGCACACAGCGTTCGCGGTTGACCCACACTAAAAAAGATTTCGAGCGTTTTCGGAACGGGTCGGTTCGCGATTAAATTCAGTGAACTTTGCAAACGTTTTCGAGTAGCATTACCTAACCTCGGTAATCTCTGAAGGCGTGCGTTATCTCGATAATTAAGATGGAGTTGCAATTTGCTGCTTTGTACAGCTAAATTCAGAAATATTACTCCCTTTTCTAATCACCTTTCTGCTTGAAAATTTCTGAATACCGCTGAGAATTTTCGTGAGTGCAAATGTTTAAAGGATTTTCTTATCCAGTTTAACTTTTCGAGAAGAGTGACTGACACATTAATTTGTTTATATTGTTGCGTACAGAGTCTCCTTACTTTTGCTGGTTTTGCCTTTTTTTTTTTCAGGAAACGTGTCACTAATCATAGCTGCTTAGAGCTCTTGTAAGTTTTAAATTACTGAACTCACTGTAGTTTTCTTTGCAGCTCCGTTGAATTTTAATTCTTTTTTTTTTTGCATTAGTAATAATTACAATGATTGTATTAGTTTTCCCAATAGTAACTGTATTTAACTTCATTATAATAGTGAGGCTGTGCAGTAATTTAAAAGTCTTATTATTGTTAATATAATTAATATTTTTTAGAACAGTTGTGATGTTGATTTTGGTGAAAATGCTTACAACAGCAATTGCGCCAGTCCTCGTTTCTGTGTAGTAATTTTAACTATGTCTGTAATTTGTACTTAAATAATGATAATGATAATAATGAAATAGAGGCGTGTATAATAATAACAGAATATAATTAAGGGGTATGGGGGTTGGCCTATTAAGACGGAACTTGGCTTGTGGGAGAGGATTATATGTGAAGGAACATGACGAAATAAATGTTCTGGTTTTTTTTTTCAGAAAAAAATCTTAAGATGATATCCAGATATGATACCATTTATTGTGAGTTTGTTTATCTTGTTAATGAATCAATTTTTTCATCGTTCCGATTAGATCTAATGCCAGGATCTAAAACCTCGCACGGGTTATTATGCAGCGATCTTGGACAAGAAGGATTGTATAAAAGTGCCACTCTCTTACCCGCTGTATGCATCAAGAAAATGTCGTGTAAACTGAATGAATGCTGACTATGAAAGATGGGGATTGCATATTTTTATCCCATAAGAGGAGGACTGACAATACACCTCGTAACGTAATGCTAAGCTCCGATAGCTAAGTGGGAATAGTATACAAAATGGGAAGAGTTGGTTTCGATAACTGCCATACAAAGACTATATACCCACTCGATTGGCGTTTACTGGTCTTTTAATCTGTACAGAAAGAGAACCTAACGTGTAAAGGCTTATTAACAGAGATTAAATGAACTTGGCAAAACTCTCTCCTGCTCGTACTGGTTTGACAAAAAGAAGAAATACGATCCACGACTAGCACGCCGGCATAGGTCTGTAGAAGGAAAAGGTAACAAGATATATCAGAAATTCTTTGTGTTTGAATCGATTCAATCTCCTCGGTTAAAATTTGTGTTCGCCTTGACGTCAAAGAAGTGTGCAAAACTAACTTGAAAACTTGAGCATTAACTTTCTTTACTTTCTACAATTTTAAGTTTACACCGAAAGTGACACACAAAACTTTGATTGTTTAAGAAAGAGGAAAAAAACAGCATGAGAAAAATTGTTCCCACCTTTTCATAACGTCACTGAAACAACAACCCAATCACGACCAGAATATACAAACTCAAAAGAAGTTAAGTGTTATTTCTGTGTAGAAAGCTATCGACATTTGTGATCCTAGTAGGATGCTTGCCACCACAAAACCCTATATGCTCAGATGGTAGATCATCCAAACGTGAAGAAGGATTCTAAAATTTGGATCCATGCAAAGATACTGCGACACTTACGGTTGTCACAAATATAAGACATCTTTGTTTCGGTGATGGATTGGGAATCCTCTAGTTCATAAAACAATAAAAGGTTCCGAATAAATAGCCCAATAAAGACAGAGTGCGCGACGAATATGACAAAAAACAAGTGCGGGAGTCAGTTCTATATCAATGCCTACCTCAGAAAGTTCTCCTTTCTCACAGCGAGTTTCAGCCGCGTTAGAAATGTCACTAACACATTTGCCACCGGCAAAGACAAAGGACAAACAACCGTAGGAACACAGAAACATTCACCTCAAGTAGTAAGTGTAAATAAGATATAACTTCGGGGTAAGGGATACTTATGATGTCATTGTCAGCTGTTGCTATCAGAATTAGTCTCGTTACCGTGAAACCTGCTTTTCAATTTTTTCAGGTCCAAAAATTTCAGAACATTCACAATTTTCCTACTTTGCTTACCTCACACCGCAATAATACGTCGGTAAAAAGAAAGGGTTGGATTGTTATTAGTGGCGAGGGTTTCATATTGCTCTAAGGAGATCATGTAGCCTTTTGCAAAAAAGTTTTGATTTTATTGTTTTTATCATTATCATTATCATTGTCATTATTTTTAAATACCATTGATTATCATTATCATTATCATTGTTGAAATGATTATTATAAGGATAGTTTTTTTTCCTATTTATTTTTTAAATTCATCTTTCTCAGCTGAGGATCAAGTCGTCACATTGCTTGCTTTAAACTCACCTTCCCAAAACTGATCAATCTTGAACAAGTCAATCTTCCAAGTGAATCTTTCATCAGCCCTCTAAACGACAAATACCCACACAATCAATGTATTCCTTGTGCAGTTTGATTGATTGTTGTATAAATAGCAGTAAATGCAGCACAACGGTACAATTAATTTAAATATCACACAGAATCTAGACAATGAGAACTCAGAGTAAAACAAGTGATCTGTTTGAGGTGCGGGGGGAACAAGTAAACACTTGTTTTAGTTTGATTCTGATTGGATGAGAGGGAGGCGTGAATTTACGGGCCATTTACAGTGAAGACACACCAATGCGACCCACGATTTAGCTTACGAGCAGAGCCTCGTTATAAGTGTGCGTTAACTTATAAGCGGGAAGACTCGAAACGCACGCGGCGAAATGCTAATAACTAGGGCCTCTTTGCAGGCTACCCAGGAATGCTTTCCATTCTCCTATGAAAATTCTCCTTTTGATTATGTGTGACAAAAATTCTCAGAGGGAAAAATTGATTACATTAAGTTTCGTGAGAGCAGCTAAAAAAAGGCCCTGAATTCTTGAATAATACAGTCTTAATCACTCTCACATAATGCAGGTACTCTAACTGTTTGGTCACAGGAGGACCAGTAACAACTGGCGCTTTACACAGCCTCAGGGTTAGTATTTGACGAGCCTATTGCATACCAGTAAAGGCAACCTACTATATGTGGGCCTCTTCTAATGTGGACTGAAAATCTTCATCCCCCCTCCTTCCAAGATAGAGCTCTTTCACAATAATTTTCACACCAAATCAAATAACACTTTATTTACCATTCTAAAAGATAATCGCATACAACTAATAAAAAGGATACAAACGTAAAGACGACGAAAAAAAAGGAAAGAGTGAAAACAAAACAAAACATTAACAAAGCTGTCTTTAAAATATTTATAAGATCCAATTTACAATTTTCCTATCTTTTTGGAGCCGGCGAGGAATAATTCGACCGCTGTGAAAAAAAAAGGGTCATAACTTACTACGAAAACATCAAAACAACCATCACATTGAAAGAATCGCATCATCATAACTTCTGGGTAATGTTCACTTTCTACTTCAAAACATAAATTACGTGGTCTATATTATCGAAAACCAACAACTTATTATCTTTAAAAGCAGCGACGCACCAAGGAGAGACAGTTTCTTCATTAAACGAATTAATGTATTTTCCATCTAAAGAAAACACATGAAGGCTGCTGTTATTATTGTCACACGCAATCAGGTTGTTAAACGCGTCGATGGTGAGGCTGTTTTTAAGGGATCCAACAACATTGCCAATATCATACAGATGAAGTCCTTCGTTGTTGAACACTTTAACATAGTAACATGGGTGATATAAGACAAAAAACTTGTTTTCATGATAAACAACAGAAGCCGGGTAATCAGAATCGTGTGGTCCTTTGAAGGACTGTACTAATCCTGTACCGTCAGGGGAGAGGACCTTAACTGAGTTGTCGCCCGAGTCACACACGATCATGTGACCATCATCTCTGACAGATACGGAACATGGATCAATCAAATGCTGACCGATGACTTTAATGAGGTCGCCATGTTCAGTGAACAAAAACATCTTACTCGATGTAAAAAGTTCTCCATGAATGACGATGACTTCATCAGATGTTGTAAATTCCACCGAAAGAGGAAACTTGATTCTCTCAGCATCACGCTCCTTGTCTCCTATTGTTCTCAGATATTTACATTCACGATCAAACAACTGAACTCTACGATTAAAATAATCTGCTATGGCAATCTTTCCTGTTCTTTTATTCACTGCAATGCTAACTGATCCTTTAAACTGTCCAGTTTCTGTCCCATGTGATCCAAACGAATGAATAGCTTTGTACTGACGATCAGTCGCCTGAACTCTCCAGGGACTACCAGTCAGCGGTTGGCCATTAACCTCAACAGAAATGTCATGTAAGCCAACACTCTTTGGCTTGTAACGCGCTACGTAGGTTCCATTCTTACAGTCATCAATTTTGGTTTCCTCCTCTTCTCCCTTTTGAGAGCAGACTATTACGGTCAGTTGGTCTTGTTCATCATAACATTGACTTCCCTTTGAATCTCGCGTTGTTACTGTAAAGCTAGTTTCAGTGCCTAGTTCTGCCTTGGTTAAACCTCTTCCTTTTGCTGTTGACTGTGAAGGATCCGTGTTAGTCTCGAATACTTGACCCGGAACCAAGCCTCTAAGAATATTCATAGCTTCCACATTTGCACAATAGACTACACGTTGAGGTTTACATACCTCAATATCCTGTGTGGTTAAAAGTTCCTCGCATCGACCAAGCACAGCATGTCCTGCTTGCAGAATTTCAGGACCGATGCTTCGTTGTACGATACCTTCGCCATATTCGACAGAACTCTTTAGCTGAGCAGCGAGTAACTGAACATTTCCTATTTCTGCTGCGTAATTCCTTTGTTGCTTGACTTTAATTTCTGCCAGCTTAGTTTTTACAGCCGTTTCATGTTCCTTCGCAACTCGAATAATTTCTTGCACAGTTTTCGTAACCTTCCTTTCAGCGGCGCAGATTTCATCTTCGCTTTTTTTCATAAGTTCAATTTGCTCCGATATCTTTGACTCCACGATAACAAGTTTTTCCTTAACTCTGGCAAAGACTTGCGTCATCTGCATCTTTTGTTCTTCGGCAGCCTCCTGTAAGTCTACTAAAGAATGTCGATTATGACTTACTATACTGCACTTGTGGCAAATACAAATGCTACAGTCTTGACAATAATAATCAAGCGGTTCATTCTCGTGATATTTCTTTGTACACATAGCGGGTCTGTGCATCAATTCCTCCACATCTTGTGCTTGCAAATTTTCGATCAAAACATTGCGATGACCTCTTGTGGCCTTCAGGCGTTGATGGGCATCAAAACAATCCTTGCAAAGAAAGTTCTGGCAAACAAAGCAGTAGCAAGTGGCCGTGTTGTTTTCTTCACAACTGCTGCATCTCTGAGCCTCTTCGCTGTCATCTCCTAGAGCGAGGAGATCCACCAATCGGTTGAGATGAAAAGATGTGGGAAGGCCGCCAAACGTGTCTCCCTCAGGGATCTGAAAGCAAGCCTGACAAACTGGACATTTGATCGTCGCTTCTAACTTTCTTTTTGCATATCCTGCGTGTTTGTCGATACACCGCAGGCAGAACGAGTGTAGACATGGCAATGTCTTGGGATCTTTGACTGTTTCTAGACACAGTGGACACTCGGCTTCCTTCTTGAGACTTGTAAAGAGCTGTTGAACATCCATGTCTAACTGAATAAGTTGAGAGCTGGGTGCGGTTGACACGTCACATCGCTAATTATGTATAAAACGAGACCTAGGGGAGGGATGAGTCACCTAATGAACCCTTATCCTCTCCACCCTATTCAGATTTGCAAGAGTAGCCTTAGTTTGATGTATTTCAATGTGTTTTTTATTCTGTTTCTAGGGGTGGAGTGATTACTCTTTTTTTTTTAGTTTTTTTTTTTTTGAGAAATGAAACCTATGGAATCATTTATTTTTAACGCACACTTGTCGGAATAAGTTTCTGTTTCAGCGCCTAAATAAGGAACAGTTTTCAGGAACTTCTTGATTAAATGGCCCCGTTTGCCAACTTACACGTAGACTGCTAGTGACAAAATTCGACCACACTCGTACAGGACAATTTCGCACGCATGACCGACGATTCCATGCTAAAAGTGTTTTATTATTTTTATTGTGAAGATGAAGTGAAGAACTGAATTCAGTTTCCACGCAAAGAAATTCAGTGAACTTTGCAAAGGTTTTCGAGTAGCATTACCTATCCTCGGTAATCTCCGAAGGCGTGCGTTATCTCGATAATTAAGATGGAGTTGCAATTTGCTGCTTTGTACAGCTAAATTCAGAAATATTACTCCCTTTTCTAATCACCTTTCTGCTTGAAAATTTCTGAATACTGCTGAGAATTTTCGTGAGTGCAAATGTTTAAAGGATTTTCTTATCCAGTTTAACTTTTCGAGAAGAGTGACTGACACATTAATTTGTTTATATTGTTGCGTACAGAGTCAATACAAAATTCTAAATTCGATACTTTATACAAACAAGAAATTATTGCAAATTAGATATTGTGAGCATGATGGATGCACTTTCTGTGACAAAGAATCAGAAACATTACACCACCTTTTTTTCTTTTGCCCTCACTCGAATATCTTTTGGAAACAAGTCGGAAATTGTTATTTCACAATGACAAACCAAGTTATGGCTCTCAGCCTTCAAGATATCATTATAGGTATTAGAACATTGTCATGCCTATTACTAAATTATTTGATACTAATCGGAAAAATACACATCTGGGATTGCAGAAGGACGCATGCGCATCCGAATACAGAAAGTCTCAAACTAAAATTGAAAATTAATTATCAAACAGGAAAAAACATTGCCTCAACAAATAAAGACCTGGAAACTTTCTATAAGAATTGGATTAAAAACTTTCAATTCTAATCTTGGGTGTTTCTCCCCTTCACCTAATAATTACAATGATTGTATTAGTTTTCTCAATAGTAACTGTATTTAACTTCATTATAATAGTGAGACTGTACAGCAATTTAAATGTCTTATTATTGTTAATATAATTAATATATTTTTAGAATAGTTTTAAGTGTTAATTTTGGTGAAAATGCTTACAATAGCAATTGCGCCAATCCTCGTTTCTGTGTAGTAATTTTAACTATGTCTGTAATTTGTACTTAAAAAAATGATATTAATAATAATAAAATAGAGGTGTGTATAATTATAAAAGAATACAATCAAGGGGTATGGGGGTTGGGCTATTAAGACGGAACTTGGCTTGTGGGAGAGGATTATACGTGAAGGAACATGACGAAATAAATGTTCTGTGTTTTTTCAAAAAAAAGATTCTAAAGATGATATCTAGCTATAATACCATGCATTGTGAGTTTGTTTATCTTGTTAATGAATTGATTTTTTTCATCGGTCCGATGAAATCTAATGCTACATTGTTCCCAAAATTTTAAGATCCGCACGCGTTGTGGACCTACTTTGCCCTGACTGGTGCAAACTTTCACTTCCGACTAGAGGACGTTTTAGCGGAAAAAGAGGGGAAAAAGACTTTTTTGTATTTTAGTGTCAAAATAGTCTTTTCAAACCTCGCACGGGTTATTATGCAGTGATCTTGGGCAAGAAGGATTGTATAAAAGTGCTACTCCCTAACCCACTGTGTGCATCAGGTAACTGTCGTGTAAACTGAACGAATGCTGACTAAGAAAGAAGGGGATTGCGTATTTTCATCCCATAAGAGGAGGAGTGACAATACACCTCCTAACGTAATGCTAAGCTCTGATAGCTAAGTGGGAATAGTATACAAAATGGGAAGAGTTGGTTTCGATAACTGCCATACAAAGACTATATACCCACTCGATTGGCGTTTGCTGGTCTTTTAATCTGTACAGAAAGATAACTTAACGTGTAAAGGCTTATTAACAGAGATTAAATGAACTTGGTAAAACTCTCTCCTGCTCGTATTGGTTTGACAACAAGAAGAAATGCGATCCACGACTAGCACGCCGGCATAGGTCTGCAGAAAGAAAAGGTAACAAGATATCATATCAGAAATTCTTTGTGCTTGAATCGATTCAATCTCCTCGGTTAAAATTTGTGTTCGCCTTGACGTCAAAGAAGTGTGCAAAACTAACTTGAAAACTTGAGCATTAAATTTCTTTACTTTCTACAATTTTTAAGTTTACACCGAAAGTGACACACAAAACTTTCAATTGGTCGCTTAGGAAATGGGGGAAAAACAGCATGAGAAAAATTGTTCCCACCTTTTCATAATGTCACAGAAACAATATATACAAACCCAAAAGAAGTTAAGTGTTATTTCTGTATAGAAAGCTATTGGCATTTGTGATCCTATCAGTATGTAGGATGCTTACCACAACAAAACCCTGTATGCTCAGATGGTAGATCAATCAAACGTGAAGTAGGATTCTAAAATTTGGATCATGGCAAAGATACTGCGACACTTACGGTTTTGACAAATATAAGACATCTTTGTTTCGGTGATAGATTGGGAATCCTTTAGTTCGTAAAACAATACAAGGTTCCGAATAAATCGCCCAACAAAGACACAGTGCGCGACAAACATGACAAAAAATAAGTGCGGGAGTCAGTTCTATATCAATGCCTACCTCAGAAAGTTCTCCTTTGTCACAGCGAGTTTCAGCCGCATTAGAAATGTCACTAGGACTTCTGCCACCTGCACAGATAAAGGACAAACCACAGTCGGAACACGGCAATAATCACCTCAAGTAGCAGGTGTAAATAAGATGTAACTTTGGGCTAAGGGATACTTATGATGGTACTGTAATTTTTTTTCAGAATCGGTCTCTTTATCGTGAATCCTGTTTTTTACGTTTTTCAAGTTTTGAAAATTTCAGAACATTCGCAATTTCCCAACTTTACTTCACTCATACCACAAAAATACGTCAGGAAAAAGTGAAGGTTTGATTGTTACTAAATGTGAGAAATTTCAAATTGCTCTGAGGAGATGATGTAGCCGTTCACAACGACGCATGGAACCTTGGTAAGCTCATTAGAATTTATTTTTAATTTTTTACCACCATTGTTTTCATTATCATTCAGTATTATTTTTGTATTTATCGTTATTGTTATTATTATTTTATTATTACTTTTTTTTTTCATTTATCTTTCTAAGCTGAGGATGAATTCGCTATTTCACTTACTTTGTCCGGGGCATCCTCGTGAACGCAATGACCGCAGCGTGGTAATACTTGCATCTGAAATTTACCTTTAAAAGAATATCGCAGAGTTTCTATCATTAGAAAAAATTGTCATTCAAACAAGAAAATATTATATCACATAAACTAGGTCTCAACTAATCTGAGACATCATAACTTGCATTTGACCAATCGTCAGATCTTTGTCAAGACGATCCACACCTGTGTCGAAAATTCGATCTTTATAGTGTTAAGTGTCAAAACTACTTGCGCAGATCAAAGATATAGTTTCTGAAGCGTGCTAGGGAAATGGTTAAAAATTAAACTGCCTGCGATTATATTCATCAAAGGTATGGAGCTTTTTAGTCAAGTAAATCATCTAACATTCAACCAGAACAACAAAAACAATGAAAGCCTCATCATCACCATCATCATTATCATCATCATCATCCTCACCTTCAATATCAAAGTAAAATAAACAAACAAACAAATAGGCACAAAAAAATGGAAATCCAATAAATTACGTTTGATTACCTGCCAATATGAGAAGCTTTGGAGCAGGACACGATAAGAACAAATTGGATATGCCTTTAGACCAGCTTTCAAAATTAAAAAAGATCTAAAATAAAAACAAATAAAACTGATAAACAAAAGAGAAATGCTGCCTGCTTTACTCACTAAATGGGAGGGAGCATACCTAGTTCCTCAGTTCACCCACAAGAGTGGAGACTCTTGTTATCTTTTAGAGACTTCACCGGCACCTTCAGCGATGTAGAACAAGGGGAAACGAGACATGATCCTAACTTTTAAAATCCACAATTCCAGGGCTATAGAAGCGTGAAAAAAGCTACCATGAATGGCAACGGTTTCTAAGGAGATGCATACTCGCAGGATTTTGTAGCCCTATCAAAGTATACGTCACATTTCCAGCAAGTGTTCATATAGCGAGAAGTGCACGTCCAAGTAATCTTAGGCTCACCTTCCCAAAACTGATCAGTCTTGGACAAGTCAATCCTCCAAGTAAATCTCTCATCAGCCCTTTAAACGACAAATACCCAAAAAATGAAAAAAGATTTGAAGTTAGTCCCTGCCTGGTCCATCATTTCAGTGAAACGTCTCATTAACAGCAGCTTAAAGGTGCTTTCAACATTTACACACGCAAAGCAGTACTCCTTACAGCTCCGTTGGTTCTGTCCAATGCGATACTTTTTATAGTTTTCTCCAGTCAGACATTTTTTTATTAACAATTCTGTAACTCGATTTATCACTCTTTTTACAGTATTTGAATCATTTTTCTGTTTGATAAATTGGTGAATGTGATCTAAATAAGGTGACAAGAGAGAAAAACATTAAGAGCTTACACATTGTAAGCGTGGATATTTACAAAAGAATACTTTTTGGGGGAATGGGGGTCGGGGTATTTGAATGCAAATAGGCCTGTGGGTGATTATAAGAGCTAGCACACTGAAATAGGAGGTTTTTAACAACGTAAGTATCACCCTTAAATCTATTAGGAGGAGGTATAAAAGAAGAAAGGAGGGGTAAAAGGAAAGGGGGAGGGATAAGATGGAAGGGGGAAGGGATTAAAGGGAACTGGGGAAGGGTAAGAGGGAAGTGGGAAGGGATTAAAGGGAACTGGGGAGCGGTAAGTGGGAAGGGAGATGGGGTAAAGGGGAACGAGGGAGCGGTAAGAGGGAAGGAGAGTGGTAAAGGGGAACGAGGGAGGGAGAAGAGGGAAGGGGGGAGGGGTAAAAGGGAAAGGGGGAGGGGTTAGAGGGAAGGGGAAAGGGGTAAAAGGGAAAAAGGGAGGGATAAGAGTGAAGGGGGAGGGATGAAAAGAAACAGGGGAGGGGTAAAAGGAAATGCGGGAGGGGTAAAAGGGAACAGGGGAGGGGTTTGAGGGAAGGGGAAAGGGGTAAAATGGAAAAAGGGAGGGATAAGAGTGAAGGGTGAGGAGTAAAAGGGAAAGGGGAAGGGATAAGAGGGAAGGGGGAGGGGTGAAAGGAAACAGGGGAGGAGTAAAAGAAAATGAGGAACAGGGGAGGGGAAAGAGGGAAGGGGGAAGAGGTAAGAGGGAAGGGGAAGAGGTAAGAGGGACCTGGAGAGAGGTAAAAGGGAAAAAGAAAGGGTAATTGGATGTTCAGAAAATTTAGGATTAAAGATAACTTCAATAGAAACAGTTAACAAATAATTAGGGCCTTCTTGCAGGCTACCCAGGAATGCTTTCCACTCTCCGTTGAAAATTCTCCTTTTGATTATTTGTGACAATAGATGATTAAAGTAGTCGTGAGAACAGCTTAAAAATAGGACCCTGAATTCTTGAATAAAAACAGTTTTTATCACTCACACACAATGCAGGTATTCTAACTGTTTAGTCACAGGGAGAGCCGATACAGCCTTGGGGTTAGTGTTTGAAGAGCGTGCTGCATACCAGTAAAAGTAACCAATTATCTCCAAGTCTCTTTGAATGAGATCTATCAACACTGATGAGGAAAAAATCTTCAAGATTCTCCTTCCAAGATTACACACTTTTACACTAATTTTCACACCAAATCAAATACTATTTTATTTACTACTCTGAAGGATAATCACTTACAGCTAATAAATGGAGACAAACGCAAAGACGACGAAAGAAAAAAATGAATAAACTAAAACAAAATTAGAACAAAGTTATCTTTAAAATATTCACAAAGTCCAATTTCCATTCTTTCTTTTTCTTTTTGAGCCCGCGAGGAGTATTTCAGCGGCTGTAAAGAGTCATACCTTACAACGAAACAAAGGCCACATTGAAAGAATCGCATCAGAATAACTGTTGAGCAATGTTCACTTTCTACTGCAAAACATGGACTACGTGCTTTTCATTATCGCAAACCAACAACTTATTATCTTCAGAAGCAGTGACAAACGAGGGACATTTAATTTCTTCAATATTGAACGAGTAAACAAATTTTCCATCTAAAGAAAACACTTGAAATCTGCGATTATTGTTGTTATCACACACGATCAGATTGTTAAACGCGTCAATAGTGAATTTTTTATAAAAGAGTTTTCCTGCACAGAGTTCCTCCTTGCCAATGTCATACAGATAAAGTCCTTCGTTGTTGAACACGTTAATATAGTTAAATGAGACAAATGAAACAAAAAACTTGTCTTCACGATAAACAGCAAGAGCCGGGTTCCTAAAACCGCGTGGTTCTTTGAAGGACAGTACTAATCCTCTACCGTCAGGGGAGAGGACTTTGACCGACTTGTCGCCCCAGTCACACACGATCATGTGACCATCATCTCTGACAGATACGGAACAAGGATCAATCAAATGCTGACTAATGACTTTAATGAAGTCGCCATGTTCAGTAAACAATAACATCTTACACGGTTCCAAAATGTCTCCATGAATGACAATGACTTCATCAGATGTTGTAAATTCCACCGAATGAGTAAAGTTGCTTATCTCAGCATCAAGCTCCTTGTCTCCTATTGTTCTCAGATATTTACATTCACGATCAAACAAATGAACTCTGTGATTATCAGGATCTGCTATGGCAATCTTTCCATTTCTTTTATTCACTGCAATGCTACCTAGTCTTTCAAACTGTCCCGGTCCTTTCCCATGTGATCCAATTGAATGAATAACTTTGTATTGATGACCAGTCGCCTGAACTGTCCAGGGACTACCAGTCAGCGGTTGGCCATTCACCTTAACGCAAATGTCACGTAAGCCAACACTCTTTGGCTTGTAACGCACTACGTAGGTTCCATTCTTACAGTCATCAATTTTGGTTTCCTCCTCTTCTCCCTTTTGAGAGCGGACTATTACAGTCAGTGGGTCTTGTTCATCATAACATTGACTTCCCTTTGAATCTCGCGTAGTGACTGTAAAGCTAGTTTCAGTGCCTGCTTCAGCCTCGATTAAACCTCTTCCTTCTGCCGATGACTGTGAAGGATCCGTGTTAGTCTCGAATACTTGACCCGGAACCAAGCCTCTGACAGTATTCATAGCTTCCAAATTTACACAATAGACTACATGTTGAGGTTTACATACTTCAATATCCTGTGTGGTTAAAAGTTCCTCGCATCGACCAAGCACAGCATTTCCTGCTTGCAGAATTTCAGGACCGATGCTTCGTTGTACGATACCTTCGCCACATTCGACAGAACTCTTTAGCTGAGCCGCAAGTAACTGATCACTTCCTATTTTTGCTGCGTATATTCTTTGTTGCGTGACTCTAATTTCTGCCAGCTTAGTTTTTACAGCCGTTTCATGTTCCTTCGCAATTCGAATAATTTCTTGCACAGTTTTCGTAACCTTCTTTTCAGCGGCGCAGATTTCTTCTTCGCTTTGTTTCATCAGTTCAGTTTTCTCCGATATCTTTGACTCCACAGTAACAAGTTTTTCCTTAACTCTGGCAAAGACTTGCGTCATTTGCATCTTTTGTTCTTCGGCAGCCTCCTGTAAGTCTACTAAAGTATGTCGATTATGACTTACTATACTGCACTTGTGGCAAATACAAACGCTACAGTCTCGACAATAATAATCAAGCGGTTCATTCTCGTGATATTTCTTTGTACACATGGCGGGTCTGTGCATCAAGTCCTCCACATCTTGCGCTTGCAAGTTTTCGATCAAAACATTGCGATGACCTCTCGTGGCCCTCAGGCGCTGATGAGCATCAAAACAATCCTTGCAAAGAAAGTTCTGGCAAACAAAGCAGTAGCAAGTTGCCGAGTTGTTTTCTTCACAACTACAGCATCTCTGAGCCTCTTGGCTGCCATCTCTCAGAGCAAGGAGGTCCACCAATCGGTTGAGATGAAAAGATGTGGGAAGGCTGCCAAACGTGTCTCCTTCGGGGATCTGAAAGCAAGCTTGACAAACTGGACATTTGATCGTCGTTTCTAACTTTCTCTTTGCATATCCTGCGTGCTTGTCGATACACTGCAGACAGAATGAGTGTAGACATGGCAGTGTCTTGGGATCTTTGACTGTTTCTAGACACAGCGGACACTCGGCTTCCTTCTTGAGATTTGTAAACAGCTGTTGAACATCCATATCTACTGAGCTGAATAAGTTGAGAGCTGGGTGCAGTTGACAAGTCACATCGCTTATCATGCATAAAACGAAACTTAGCGGAGGGACCAGTCACCTAATAAGCCCTCGCCCTCTCCACCCTAATCAGATTTCCAAGTGTAACCTTTGAAGAGTTTCAATGTGTTATTACTCGGGTTTCGGCTTCGTTCTTCGTTTCGTTCAGCTTCAAATCGCAGTTAAATTTTTAACACGCATGCGCGAAGTTTTGTGCATGATAAGGATCAATGGCATGGCATGGTGTAATGGCGAAAGAAGAGGAGCATTTGGGGTGAAAAATCAACACAGATACTGTGTATAATACGCTGAAAATGCATGCAAAATATGCACACAGCGTTCGCGGTTGACCCTCACTAAAAGATTTCGAGCGTTTTCGGAACGGGTCGGTCCGCGAACCTTGTGAGAGAAATTTTTATGAGTAAACTTTCATCGAGAAACATGCAATATTAACTGAGCTATCTAATGTCAATCGAGAGAAGCAGAAACGCAAATCTCATCGTGTATGTAGAGGTGATCGTAAACCAAGCAGAATACCAATACGAAGTTTAAAAAGTAGGAACCAGAGCAGAAAGGTTAGAGAATTTTTATATGCACGTATTCTTTCATGTATACCCATGTTATCTACATTGTACTGTTATGAAAATGCGAAAAAACTATTAAATAAAAGTTTAACTGTCGTGAAAGAACTCGTCAAAGTATAAGAAAGATAAAATATCGTGCCAGGCGATATTTAAAATTGTTTTCTCATAACAAACTGATATGTTCTTGAGGACAGAATGTAGGACAACAGTGTGTGGCAATGAGTTTGTGCTCTTTGCTTTTATTACAATATCATATTAGGGATCAGCTGACTGCGAATGATCTTGCACAAATAATAAATATAGGAAATCTATTTTATTCAAGTTTCTCACAATTAACCAGACAGGCATTTTTAATGCAGTCAGAATTACCAACAGCATTACATGTGTTCGACACTGATTATCAACTGGAATACAGTGAAAGGTACTCTGATACTGTTCACCAAGAAACTACAATAGAGGGAGATCAGTACTGTACCTCTTTATGAAGAGCCTTTAAGTCAGACATATCTGAAAACTACACCTATTACATAATAACCCTGAGGTGTATTGCTGTTACAACCTATTGTGATAGTAATGTGGGGTTCAAATATTTGATTCTTGTGCTAGAGATTTGTATGGTAGAGGGCAGCCTTAAGGTACAAGTCTTCTTCTTAAAGCACTGTCCCTTGATAGTTTTGTGCATTATTTTTCAGAGTATACTTAACAATGGTATATTTGAAGTGAGAGGAGTACAAGTTGAGAATATTCAAAATAGAATGGTTTCTCAACACAGTGTGAATGAACCACAAACTTCAATCTAAGTTGTGCTGTAGCTCTATCCTCTCTTTACTACTCTGCTCTGAAACCATGTAATTACAACTCATCCTTACCCACCATTGGTGACAGTGGCAAAAAAATGTGTTATAAATCAAGTTTAGAACACAGCTAATCTTTCCAAGAACTGTAGATGTTTGTGGAACTGTAGTAAATTTAGATAATTTGTTTTAAACTGGAGGACTATTAACTGATTCACTTCAAAGTAAGTCAATTCTTGAGAATGTTATAGTGAATAATATTGAATGCACAGAGCTTTTGATATCGTTTTTCTCTTATTGCATCAGTTGTACCTTTAAACCCACAAAAAATAAATGATTAGAATATATGCATTCCCTCATGCTTTATAATGAAAGAGACATGTCCCCTATTCAATACACTAAAAACATAAATGGAATGGCTTCACTTGTTGATGCCATTAGAAAAATACAAGAGGAATATGATTCTCAAGGGCATATCAGAATACAATTTGATATATGTTCATGTAAAGTGGTTGACAGAAATGAAAGGGAAAAAATTAATGAATAAACATAGACAAAAACAATACCATAAAGCAGAACAGCCACCAAAGAAAAAAAATTGTGGGGAAAAAACAAGTTTGAGGTATGAAAAATAGACAGGAATTGCAGAAAAAACTGTCCCAAAATAACAAGACCTGCTAAAGAAAATGGCACAACAATATAAACTATGGATTCTGATAGAATCAAGAGTTGTTAAACAAAAAAGGACAAGAATGCAAAACAATGGATGCTGCTACAAAACAAGAAGTACTTGAGAGACACAACAAAAATATTGTATTTGTAAGAATGAAACTTTAGATTTGTGTATTGAAGAGTTTAACTGAAAAATAAAGGAAGGCCCATATTGTATTTGTTGTATATGTAACAGAACACTTTATAAGAAATCTGTCTTAAAACTCAATAACACTAGTCACCCTTCTCAGGATATTTTTAATACACTATTGTCATTTGATGGAAAAGAGTTTATCTGTAAGACTTATCACTCTAAAGTCAATCAAAGCAGTTTTCCATTTCAAGCAAGAGTAAACAACTTATATGTAGATAACATCCCAACAAATAGTAGCTCAGTGCATTGCATTTGGAAAACAATTGTTAAGCCAAAAAGATAACAGAGGAAAATTAAAGGCGCCATATGTAATGTACCAGTAAATTGTAATCAAACATGTAACATCTTGCCTTGTCCTTCAGAAATGTCTGGTATAATTGTCATTAAGTTAAAAAGAAAACTTAATTTCAGAGGAGTACATGTTTATTTTGAAGCTGTTAGACCAGAGTTCATAATGTCAGCACTCAACTGGTTAAAAGCCAATAATCCTTTATAGAAAGATCTACAAACTGATTGTTCAAACATTGTTGTAGAACTGACATATATGACACAGGCTAATAAAGATGAACCCAACTTACTAACAAATACTGTTAATAATCATTTAGAGAGTACATTTGAGAATGTAGTAATTATGGGACAACCTTGTGATGCCTATTTTCTTGAGAATTCAAAATTGAATAGCTCTGTAGATGCTCCTAATAGTAGAACAGAACTTCAAATTAAGAAGTAGAAGACCCTTTTAATATACACAGGTCACCTGCTAGTGAGACATGTTTGCAGTCAGTTATTCCAGATTATCCCATTTTAACTGAGGAACATCAATCTGATAACTCCAATGGTAGAGAAATCAGTACTACCATATAGCACCTGGTGAAAACAAACACCCAGTGTCTGTAATGACTGAGAAACTATGTGAGGAGCTTGCATTTCCAGTATTATTTCCAAAAGGAAGATTTGGTTATACCACAGAACAACAAATCAAATTGTCATCAGTTAGATACTTTAATGCCAGACTGCTACATCACAGCGGAAGATTTGCAACGGATCCAGAATATCTTTTCTTTGCTCATTTCATTATCAAAGAGAAAAAAGTATCTGACAACATCAACATGGCCCTTAAGAAAGTTCATGGTATTATCATATTATCATTGTAATTAGTAGATATATAGTCATATGAAAAAATATTAAAACTAGTTTAATTGTATTTTTCCTTACTTCTTATATACAGAATGAACACACTTAGATAATTTTCATATGCCAGTGAAAATTTGCAATTACTGTAATAAGTAGACCCTGAAATTTTGGTTCATCATCAACTGCTACAAACTTAATAGTCATTTTTTATTCAAAGGCAAATGCAAAGGTGGTTTTGATTAGTGTGATTTCAATAAGCCTTTTTTTTGCTTTTGTTTGTTCTTTTTCTGAGGGTTATTTTTAATCTCTTCTATACCCTCTTGGGTAGTGTATACCAGTGGGTTATTTTTAATCTCTTCTATATCCTCTTGGGTTGCATCTTGAAAATGATTAGAATTGTAATCATCGGAAGTTGCGGTTTTTTCATTCGAGGGTAGCATTATTACATTTTTGAAGCGATTATGGGATGTCCTGGAATGTTTAGCGAACACCTCATGCCACCAAGAGGCGTCGAACCTTGGCTTGAATTACTTATGCAAATTAGCTGGCTGCACATTCAATGTGCAGCCAGCTAATTTGCATAAATTTTTTTCCGACGCAAAGCTCGTCATGGCTAATTTTAACTTCCGACTAGAGGACGTGTTGGCGGAAAAAGACGGGAAAAAAGCTTTTACAAGACTTTTTTGTATTTTAGCGTCAAAAGAGTCTGTTTCAAACCTTGCACGGGTTATTATGCAGTGATCTTGGGCAAGAAGGATTGTATAAAAGTGCCCCTCCCTAACCCAGTTGGCTTTGGTAGCTGCCATGCAAAGACTGTATACCCACTCGATTTGCGTTCGCTGGTCTTTTAATCTTTACAGAAAGAGAACCTAACGTTTAAAGTCTTATTAACAGAGATTAAATGAACTTGGCAAAACTCTCTCCTGCTCGTATTGGTTTGACAACAAGAAGAAATATGATCCATGACTAACACGCCGGCATAGGTCTGCAGAAGGAAAAGGTAACAAAATATCACATAGAAAACACTTTGTGCTTGAATTGTCTGTAAATGTCTCCGGTGTTCGATTCAATCTCCTCGGTTGAAATTTGTGTTCGCCTTGACGTCGGAGAGGTGTGCAAAAACTAACTTGAAAACTGAAGCATTAAATTTCTTTAGTTTCTACAATTTTTAGGTTTACACCGAAAGTGACACACAAAACTTTGATTGTTTAAGAAAGAGGGAAAAAAACAGCATGAGAAAAATTGTTACCACCTTTTCATAACGTCACTGAAACAACAGCCCAATCACGACCAGGAAATAACAAACCCAAAAGAAGTTTAGTGTTATTTCTGTGTAGAAAGCTATCGACATTTGGGATCCTATCCGTATGTAGGATGCTTGCCACAACAAAACCCTATATGCTCAGATGGTAGATCATCCAAACGTGAAATAGGATTCTAAAATTTGGATCCATGCAAAGATACTGCGACACTTACGGTTGTCACAAATATAAGACATCTTTGTTTCGGTGATGGATTGGGAATCCTTTAGTTCATAAAACAATAAAAGGTTCCGAATAAATCGCCCAACAAAGAGAGAGTGCGCGACAA